AAGATCATGTTCTTGCTCTTTCTCTTTATATTGTTGTAATGCTTAAGTTTTGCTTTCATTAATCTCTTGTTCATGCTTTTCATTTCCTTTACTATACTTAGTTAACTTATATCATGTTTATGTTCTTATATTGTTTCTTTAAGTTTTTCTTCTTCATAATGTCTAGCTGAGTTAATTATGTCAAGGTGAAAAGGTTTCACTAATGGTGTTAGGATAAGTATAATATAAAATCAATATGGACTTCAATGCTTATATCCTAAACAATTGCTATTAACATGTCTTATCATTTCTATCTTATTAATTCTTAATACCTTACTTGTTAAATGGTTAATCTAGATATATGTTGTATAACACTTGGTACATCAAATATTTGATTCTTCATAGTATTCACCGACATCGTTATTATGAGAGGAACTTGATTTGTTATCAACATTTGTTTTTATCATTATTACATATATTTTTTATTTTAATTTAAATTAAATATTAAAATTAATAATATTATAATATTCATAATTGTAAAACCTAGACTAACTTGATAGGTTAAACTAAGACTTCAACCAATCCGAGTTTGAGAAAAAATAAAGGAAAGATCAATTTAACTTGATCAAGTCAAAAACTTAGATCGACCTATGTCTTGGGAAACTTAAGATAAAATACAAGTCAAAAACATGTTGATTTTTTAAAAAAAAATTAATTTTTCAAAATAAAGTTGCTTTGATTCTTTATTAAAATAATTTTTTAGGTCAATCCAAGTTAATCATCCCTGCTTGTGACTCAAGCTTTATCTCGGATCGACTTCTAAATCGAGTTTAAAAACTATAATAATTATTATTTTTATCCTTATATTAGCTTGAGTTGACCCTTACGACCTGTCATTAGGTCAATCAAGGAGTCAAATTTTAAAACTATAATAATTATTATTATTATTATTCTTACATTAACTCGATCAACCCGAGTTGATCTTTTTGACCCGTGACTCAGATCAACTCTATAGTTGGGTTTTAAAACTATAATAATAATCATTTTGATTTTTATGTTGTCCTGAAGACATCAACCTTTTCGTCGTGTCATGTCCCTTTAAAACTATAATAATAATCATTTTGATTCTTATGTTGTTTCTAGTCTGTGACTCAGGTCTTGTCTTAGGTTAACCCCGATTCAGATTTTAAATCTAAGATAATAATTCATTTATCTTTATATTGATCCGAGTCAACAGAGATCAACGATCCACCCAACTTGTAACTGTTACTTTATTCTGAATCATCGATTCAAATTATAAAATTATAATAATAATCACTTTTATTTTAATGTTGAACCTTTCAGCTCATAACTTGGATTTTATCTTAGATCGACGTCTAAAATAATTTTAAAAATTATAATAATTATTATTTTAATTATTATATATCTTTAAACAATTTTAAAATTAAAACTTTTTAACAAGTATATTTTAAAAATAAAAAAATAATATCTCAACATTTTCTTTTTATACCTCCCGCTTTTAAATTATAAAAACCCACTTTAAAATTATTCATAAATATATTTTTTTATTTTAACTTATTTTAATTTATTTAATTTAATATATTTTTATCTTCATTATCTCTTTTTTCTTTGTTTACGATGACAATCAAATGCTACCTAATAAGCCGTTAGAACAGAGCACTAGGATCGGGGTAGAAATGTCCAGACAAGAAAAGGAACGATAGCAAAGATTTCAATCTCCATGGAAATGGTGATTTCGTCATTCTGAAGAATAGCTGGATAAACGGTCGCTTTGGAGAGGCCCTTTTCTCCCTCTCTTATCAAAACTAGTGAAACAGTTGCTCACTGATGCTGGAAAGCTCTTGACAATGGCTTCTTCAATCACTTTTCTTTTCAGACCAGGTCAAGAAACTAACCCTCTATTATCATTTTCAACTATCTTACGTTATTAAAGGGTTTTTTTGCACATTACGTTTTTGTGTCATGGGTAGGTCTTGGTAACCAAAATGCTGGTTTTCTTCAAGGAGAAGTTAAGATTTCTTGAAATAAATGATTTGGTTGGGCTAAAACTAGAAATTATTACATGGGTTTGCTTAATTGGAAGCTTTGTAATGACTGAACTTTGTGTCTCATTGTCAAGAGTCAAGTTTTTGAGTCAACTAGGTATGCTATCTGCAAACATGTTAATGATTTGCAGGGAAATGACCACAGTACGAAAGTATTTAAGAGTCGGCTTGTGTTATGCATCGAATATGGGCAGTGGTTTATGGATTACGGCGAGCAGCAATTGCATTCTAACCTGCATTGTTGGTAAATATAAGTTAAGTGTTTTCTAAAAGATTATGATATCTTGGGCGTTGAAACTTGTTGGATAATAGGGGTTATCTGTTGAAGTTTGTTGGTTGGTTTTTGTTGATCGGTGGTCTTTCCCATATTATATGAGTGCTCTTGTTCGTCTTCAATGAAAATGGAATAATGCTGTTGTACTACATAATGGAATCATATAATTCAATAGTACAAATTTAACTTGATTGAGAAATTTGTTGGCTGATTTTCAGCTTCATAGGCTGTTAGGTATATAAATGTGTATTAAAAGAGGAGGTATGAGAATAAGAAAGTGTGTTATTAGTGATTTGGATTAATGATGTAGCCACTAGGTATTTCCTTTTTGTATCTTAAGTCTAAAATCGCCAAAAGACAAAACGTAGTGCTTATAGCTATTGGGTGATATTAACGATTTGCATGCTTGTATAAATAGCCAGTACCTAAGATATGGTCTTGTATCTTAGAAATCTGTTTGTTATGTATATAACTGAAGGGAAAATGAGTTCATGTTTTGTAAAAGCATTCTGAGGTTTTCTCTTCTTCTGGTGTATCAGCAATTTGAGATCTGTATTTTTGGACGAAAGAAGCGGAATTTGTGTACCTAGTGTTCCTGTAACTCGCATTGGTTTCTCGAGAGAGATTATAGAATGTAAGGAGTCGCAGATAGGGAAGCAACCAGTTCAAGTTCCATCCAATGTGACAATCACATTGGAAGGCCAGAATTTAAAAGTAAAGGGTCTATTGAGGGAACTTTCAAGGAATTATCCACAAGTAAAGATTGAGAGGGACGAGAATGGAATCCTTCAGGTCAAAAAGGCTGTAGACACTAGAATAGCAAACCAAATGCATGGACTTTTCAGGTAAAGTCTTCCATCATGTGGCTCTAATATTTTGATTGCCTATTATTTCTTTGTTTTTAGTATTGTTGCACTTGATGCTTTCTATTAGACTAATTTCAAACGCTTTATTCTTGGACCTTCAGGGGTTGTATTAGGAATGCGTAAACTGCTTCAATCTGGTTTTGAACTAGTTCTGGCATGCGACATTGACAAATTTAGGGACTAAGAGAGGTTACCTACTCTGTATCATGCATGCAAATTTTGGGAGAGAAGAAGAATAAATAATTTTAGAAGAAAATTTATTGGTAGAGAATTTGCTGCCATGATGATTACTTCTAAATTGTAGTTTACAAGCCAACTATGTTGTTTCAATAACGATGGAACTGTTGAAACCTAAACCTCACTTGACTCTGTTGACCTGGTTCTGGTGCTCCCGAAGCATCCTGTCTGTGGAAGATTATACTTGCTGTATTAGGATATGACCAAAACCATACATGCAGTTAAAGAATTTGGATATGAATTGCTGACTTTATTGATATTTAATGTAATTCACTAATTATCTTAATTTTTTCTTTTTTAATGAGGGTTTTCATTCTACTTTTAGTTGAGGTTATTGCGTAGTCTTTGATGGGAATAATTCGCTGTGATTGTGACATGTCTTGTATTTTCTGTAAGGAAACTTCGATCTTTGAAGTAGTCATTTCAGGTCTAACACTGATTATGGACATGAATTATGTGTTGACAATTCCACCTTTATAGATGTGATAATGTGAGTCATGCCAAATAAAGTAATAGATATAGGATCCAACAAAATGTTCTTGACTTTGTTTTCTGAAACAAGAGCATTTTTCACTTATGATGCTTGAACCTAGAAATTGCTGTAGAAGTACCAACTGACAATAATGTGATAGTTTCAACCCTTAGATGCGGAACTAGATGAAATTTCAGAACTGAATGCAAATCAAGCAGCCCCTGTTTCATGACCATTGATACACTGCTTGTTTGTGTTTAGAGCTGCTTGATTTGTATGAGAAAATAAACACCGCTGCTGTTTGATATTCTACCCAAAGTGCCTATCTTCATGGCAGTATCTGTTAAGGATTTTCTCAGAAACTTTTTATGCTGATATGGACATCAAGGACAGGAGAAACTAAATACAGAAATATCAATACCTGCCATGGAAAATGTTCGCTAAGGTCTTCTTTTTATGCCTTACCAACAACATGGTGGTGGGAGTATCTAACGATTTTGAGAAGAGACCTTCAACTAGTTGGTGTCGGTTATCGTGCAAACATAGAAGGAAAAGACTTGGTGTTAAGTCTGGGGTTCTCTCATCCAGTTAGGATGGCAACCCCTGGTGACCTGCAAGTGAAGGTGTAAGAGCACCAGGATTGTTGTCAATGGAAATGACAAATGTTCCATTGGTGAGTTTGCTGCTTCAATTCGGAGATGGAGACCCCCTGAACCATATAAAGGTAAGGGTGTGAGGTATGCCAATGAAGTTATAAGTTTAAAGGAAGGAAAACCAGGGAAGGAGTGATAACTGTATTTCTTTCATTCTATTTTGTCGTCTCAGGGTTTTGCTCATTTGTATGCATCAACAATGTGGAATGTATTATGCTAACAGTAACACATTACATTGCCAAGCAGTGTAAGTTTTCCCCCTTCTCTTTTATTTGTTTTCTCTTCTCTATTCAATGATTACAAGTTGTATTTCCCAAGTTTTTGATTATTGCTTTTTGTAATAGAGTTTTACGAGTATTTGTGGAAAAGAAGCAAAGATGCATTGAGAATTTCATTGTAGTCCTCAATTTGATGCAATGAATTATTTTTTTAATCAATATTATGTGATAAAATGTACTTATCTAATTGATTTTTTATTATGTGATAAAACATACACATATAATATTAAGTTTGAATTTGGTCTTGAGATTTCTTGCAAAAATTACACGAAGTTGCATTTACACTCCAATCTATTCTTGATTAGTTCAATCAATTAAAGTTATCAAATGACTAATACTAAATTCAATTGAACTTTTACTTGTCATGCTAATCTTCAATTATTAAATATGGTATATTTATTTAATCCAACTTTTTTTTTATATTCACATGTTGAATTCTTTTAAATATGTTTTATATGATTTCTTATTTTTATATTTGATTAAAGAAATGTGCATGTTTTCTGAAGAATAAAAGGTCAAAGGGCATTGAGTAAAAGAATTTGCAAGTGATGTAAAGCATTTGAAATTATATATTGATACATAAATTATTCTATAATCAATGTGAGAAATTAAAATAAAATTGATGTTTTAAAAATTACCACTAGCAATGAAAAATTAAAATACTACAGCTGCTGATCACTTACTCAGCTTTCATTATGAACGTTGTTATTCCATTACCAAAAACAATTGGAGAAAACAATTGTCAATTTCTGAAAGAAATTACAATGGAGAATTCTGTCATGTTTCGTCAATAATTATTGATGAAATATCTGATGGGATAAAAAAAATAAAAAATTCATTGGTGATTATATTAATTTCATACATCATGATTACTAACAAAATTGCTGACAAAATATTATCATCAACAAATATAAATAAGTTATAATTGATAGTTCCTCCTCTATTCTTCGTCTTCTTCTTCCTTCTCCTGTCAAAAAAATACCAGCAGCCCCCCACTCTATTTTCTCACAAAGTTAGCCACCCCAATCTGTCGGTGTTGATTTACAGTTCACAATGTTAGCATCATTATATTGTTGAATTTTTTGTAAAGCTTTGATAATATAAAATAAGAAAACTCATTAATTTATCAAAAAAATTATAATTTAGTTGTATTTTTATTTGTTGATGAAATGGCTTATAGAATATGGTTAGTGCATTTTATTATTTTGACACCAATATCTCCTTGATGTTTTTATCAATAATTTATAACATCAACAAATAGCAAATTTTTGACATAACTTTTTCCAGTGATGTATTTCTTTCGGTAACTCCTTCAGTAACATAAATGACTAATGAAATGGTGTTTACTCACCAACAAAATATTCTATTAGTATTTTTTTAATTTTCTAATTGTACTTAAGAAACATTGCTTCTATTTTTCATTTTAGTCATCCAACATTTTTTTTCTTTTTTAATTTTCTAATTGTACTTAAGAAACATTTCTTCTATTTTTCATTTTAGTCATCCAATATTTTTTATTATTATTTTTATCATTGCAAGTTTATATTGTCACCATTTTATGTGTTCGGTTATCTTTTTTTTATATGTTATTGTGTATTTAAAGTGTCTAAAAATATCTTGTTTTTAAATTAAAAATCAACATTATAAAATTGAAATTCAGTTATAGTTAAAAAAACTGAAATAACAAGTATAATATTTAACAAAAAAAATAACCTTTTTTTACTTTCACTCTTGCTAACACGGGAAGAACTTTAATTTGATCTTTAAAGTGTCAATTTTTGTATTTTGATCTTAAATTTAATTTCATAACATTTAATTTTGTGATTGATGACGAGTACTATTTATGTTATGATATGCATTAATTTCCTAAATAAATTTCTTTTGATTCTTAATTTAGCATAACGTAGAATTGCTAGATACAAAAGATCATAAAAACTTTTTTCAAAAAAAATAAATAATTGGAAGCACCCAAAATTATATCTATTTAAAAATTTATGCTACGATCTGTATGGGATATTAAGTAACATCAACGATTTATTTCCTGAATAAGATTTTCATGAAACTAGTAGTTTTTTATGGATAAAAACTTATTCAACCTAAATGTAAAGAGTAATTAGGTTAGTTCTTAACAATGGCTGTATATTTACTTAAACTTATGAATCTAAATTTAATTGTAATTAAAAATAATGAGGATACTATATTTAAACTCTTGATGTGGCTGAGTTTTTAATTGTTAATAGGAAAGAATAATCATGATCATTTAGTCATTAAATTAACTTCTAACTTAAAATATATAGATATATATATTATGTTATAGCTAGTGTTTACTTCTACACGTAAGCACTCATCTGGATCACCCAGTTATATGTACGTTTTAAATTTGTCCAATGCATGCATCTTAGGGGGCTTTTTCGTCGTCTTCCACTATAAAACTGCACAGAGCAATTGTAGGAGGCACAAATGGGTCATCTCCCACATGCAACCAAAGGCATAGGATCTCCTCTCCACATTCGTAAGAAACAAAGGAACTGGTCACCTAATCCCATGTGAAAGATGATGCCTATAACATCTGCCTGTTCAAACGCGTCAGCGCCTGGTATAATTCAACGACGATCCTTTAAAGTAATCTGGCATGATTGTATCGTGCACCTCCACAGAAGTTTCAGATTTGTGCCCTAAAAGTTGAAGGACATTGCACATGCACTAGATCAACGCTCTACCATAAGATCTCCCAGTTTGATACGTAGCTATCTTTTTTATGGCTAAATTTTCAACCCCAGATAAGACTTTGAAACTTTTGCCCTTTTTTACTGTTTAACGACGTGCATGAAGTACTCATCTAGAAAAGTCTAGGGCAATAACACTACGTTAATGTTGTTGTTTAGATTTGATAGCCTGTAATTCTAGCGTGTTCGATCCGAGTGATGACAGGAGTAGATTTTTGCTGCCCACTGTACATCTATCATACTTGCTAAATTAATTCGATTTGGAATCAACAAAATTTAAAATTCAAGTCATGCAACAATAAATTGATTTATAAACTCGGGTAATTTTAAATCATCAGTTCAAGCCAACAGGGCGGACCGGTTTTATAAGAGTGCATTTTATATGGCCAGTTCCAAGTCAGTCAACTTTTCGCTGCTATTCTATAATTACAAGCTGCAATTTTGTTCATTAAAGATTTGTGATTTGGTTCAGATTCTGTTCATATATAGACATACATGGTACTGTTCACGATGCACGTATTAGGTACTAGCTATCAGTACGGTTGGATAATACTATTAGATACATAATGTGGTATAACTAAATTAATATGCATCAACTAAAATAATTATTGGCTGATTGATTTTTGCCAAATCATTACCCTGTAATTCACAGTTAGATCATAAACCAGTATAAAATGCAAGTACAGAGACGCATGAATTACTGAAAACTACCTGATTTTCTCAGAGACTAGCAGTAAGCGTAGTGATAAAGATTTCTGCAGATTAAAAAGTTGTGGCAGCCCGAGCGCAATTGAAGGGCCTTAAACTTGAGATAATCAACATGCAAGCCCTGAAGAACAGGCGTAATTAGACGGTAACATTGATAATTATTAGGGTCAAATTCTCACGCAAGCACAAATTTTGTCAATTAGCAAAGCTGAAAAAATGCTTTGGATGGATCAACAAAGAACAATCTCAATAAACAATATTAGATATATAGACGCAGCAAATATATTTTAAGCTATAGAGACAATTGACTTTTTTAATTATTATTTTTATGCGCATAACTTCACTTGTTGCATGGTTTAAAAAAAAACATTTTAGATCAATTCATGCACGTTAACAAAGATTCAATTATTTCCTTAAATTATTTTAAAAATGTATTTTCACATTGATGTGATGCGCGAAAAATATTTTTTTTTTTTAGATATTAATCTCAAATTAAGTTGAGTCAAGAAGTCAAGGAATTACCCTAAGATAAGATGATTGACCCGTGATGCTTAAATAATCTTTGTTGTGGCCCAAAAGGATCAACAAATATATGTTTTTCTCACAAGCCAACAAGACCAGCTGAGAAAAAAATATATTAATTTCCTTCTTTTTCTTTTGAACATCCGGCGTAACACCCGGTTATTCATGTGCTTCGCCTCCTCAAGCCTCCCTTTCTCTCTATTTATGCTTTCACTACTCTTACTCTTTTTCTCCCTGCAGGCCTCCATCTTTTCTTTTACATTTCCTGGTTTCATTTATGGGGAACTGCCTGACAAGTAGCAAGATTGTGTCACAAAATGCCAAGTTGGAGCAACAAAGTGAAGCAGATCAAGAGCTCATGATCGAAGAGACTACAACATCCTTGGCGTCGTCCAAGATAGAGCGCCCTAAACATGGTGGCAAGGCATGATCGAAGAGACTACAACATCCTTGGTGTCGTCCAAGATAGAGCGCCCTAAACATGCTGAAGGTGGCAAGGCCAGGATGGTGAGGTTAGGATTAGATGAAGAGGTTAATGTTGGTAAAGATGGCGAGATGGGTGAGACAACGACATCTAAAGGTGGTGGCGCTGTGAGGATTAGGGTTTTGGTAACTAGAGAAGAGTTAAAGCAAATCTTGGATTTTAGGAAGAACATAAACTACTCTTCTGTGGAGCAAATGATAGGCGCGTTGAGGTTGAGAGAGAGGAGTACTGATCAAGTTGGAGCAAGTAGTGATGGCGGTGTGATCATGAGTAGCAGCAGCTGGAAGCCGGTTTTGGGTAGCATTCCAGAGGAGCGTTAACGAACATGTAATCAATTTGCCATTAACTCTATTAATTTATCCCTGTAAAAGCATCTATACTTCTTGTTTTGAGAATTTAGTACAAACGGTAAGGGTTTTTTTCTTACTGGATGGTCATCAACTATAGAGGTCCAACTGCAAGCAAACCAGTGTAATTGCAGTAAATAACTACGGGTGCATCTTTCAAACTTTTCGATATGAATTCCCATAAGTCCAATCCATTTCTATACTTCGTTTTGTTTCTTATCCAGCTAATCGTACCCACAACCACTTACAAACACTATAGCTTGGCATGCAAAACACAACTTTCTGGTCTTAAAAGCTTTTTTTTTGGTTTCAGTAAGGGTTTTTTTTTCATTTTTTTATGTTATATTAACTTGTGTTTGGCTTAATAATTTATTTTGATTAACTTATTATGAATTCTTTTAATGTCAAAAACAAATTATAATGTTGAGTTAATGATTGATTTGACAAAGTAAATTTCAATTTTATTGATTAAAATAAATTGAAACTAAGAGGACCACATTCGACAATGAAATTAAAAATAAAAATAAAAAAGCAGACTCTTTTTTCTTTTATTTTCATGATGTGTAGATTTTGAAATTTTAGTCTTCAATTTTTTTTTATTTTTGGTCCTTGTTTATTGAGATTTTTACATTTCAGTCCTATACTTTATTTTTTTTTTATTTTAGTCCTTGTATTTTGTGAGGAGAGAAAGGATCACCATGAAATGGTGGGGAATTCCAGAGAAAATGAAAAGTTAGCCAAATTT